AAAAGCATTTGAGGAGAAATAGCGATTTTTATTTTTATTTTGCATCATTGCACACCTTACAAACATCAAGACCGATTGATATTACGACAGTAACATGACGGAACAACAAAAACAATATAAAAGACATAGAGGGCATGGATGAGAGGAAAACTCGACCATGTTTGGTTCAGTTAGCTCAAAAACAGCCGGTACAAATGTCCTTCAGAGAAACCAACAGTACTTTTTACTTTTATTAATACATTTCAGAGCCTGTACTCACTCCTACTTGAGTAAAGAATTGTGTACTTTTTCCACCTCTGATAGTTAAAGGTCCAGTGTATAACACTCAGAAGGATCCAGTGCTAGAAGTGAAATACAATATTCATAGGTATGTTTTTATTAATGTATCACCTGAACATAAGAATTGTGTTTTTGTTACCTTAGAATGAGCCGCTTACTGTGTATGTAAAGACGCTGAGCTTCGCCTTCCATAGAGTCCGCCATGTTGAACCTTCATGTTTTTACAGTAGCCGGACGAGAACAGACAAAATTCTGGCTCTAGATAGGGCCTTTTGAAATTTTCATGTGTTTCATGGCTTCCATAATTTCTCCTTCACACCTGGAAGGGAAGGGTGAAGTGAGGGAGTTGCTATCTGCAACTACACTGCTAGATGTTACTAAATCCTACACACTGGACCTTTAAAAGAAACACTGACTGCAGGTACACTTTGTTTTCCAGACCTCCCTAAATGTCCTGATATACTCCAAAAACGGACAGGGATAAGACAGTAGGGCAGGGCAGGGTGTTTAGCTATGTGGATGTTCATACATATGCAGTCATTTGCTGTTGGGCTGGGGGGTGTGAAAAACCCCATTGAGTTTAGTTCAAATACAACACAGATCAGGAGTTTGCAACATCAGCTACAAGCGGCACATCAGAGCAGTTACATTAAAGTTGTCCCTATTCTCCTCGGCTGTATGTGTTCAATCTGCAAATGATTATCTCCTGCATCTCAACAGCACGGCTGCTGGCTGCACTGCTGCGGTACCTCTTATTTCTAATGCTGCTGCCTTAAGCCATCAAAACAGCCAAGTGTTACCAAGGAAACAATCTACAGGCGGTAATATAAAACACACAGTAAGTGCTCTGGACATACTTATACACACTGAGTCACTGTGACTGTCACATGCACACAGACTTATTCTTTAAAACAGAGTGAGGCAGATAATGTTGTATCGTTAAAATAGCATCAGATCTGCAGCCGGCAGCGTCTGCGCTAATGACAGTGTAAACCAGAGAAAGCAGCTTCCACTCTTCCTCCACTGTGCCATTACTGTAGAATGAGTATTGAGCTGCAGTGGAAGTGAGTCCTGTGCGTGGGTGAGAGGCGCTGCTGATGATTCTGCAGCTGGTCCTTTCCCCGCATTCTCTTTTTATAGCCAAACTGCTCATTTGTGTCTCTTTGACGTCACACACACACACACACACACACACACACACACCAAGAGAGAGAGAGAGAGAGAGCGCGAGCGCGCACCCAGCAGATCTGTTCAGCCTCTCTCCTTCGGTGATTCATATATAATTAGTCAGAGTAGCGGTGCAATTCTCCTGCTGTCTGTCTCGGTTATTGTCTGTCAAATTCTCACACCTTGGCCTCTAGTCTGAAGGCGGTAAACGCTCACAGGTTTGACACAGCGCCGTTCCAGCTGGCTCAAAAAGGTGTGGCTAATTAAAAATAATGAGCCGTGGTGGGTTGCATATATATTAACCATAGATTATGAGCTACAAACATCATAGAGCTGCATCACAGCTTAACATGCTGTCATTATCAGGAAAGTTTCAGTTCAGCAGCCAGGTTGAGAGCCAGCATTAGAAAAGTTAAAACAAAAGAGCTAATAGAACAATGAGAAGTAAACAAAAAAGCCTATTAAGTATGTATGATTGTTAAAAATGAACAGTTATCAGTAATTCAATTAACAAATACATAATACAGACAGAGAAGGTTCTAAAATATCAGGAAAAATTCTCTGATCAATATTCCCAGGAAATAATCTGCTCAAAATTCATCCAAATTGCTATTATACATAAACTTCCTACAGTATTTACAGTTTATCAGTGATTCTGTACTGTTAATATTATGCATTTAATATAATGTGAAATATCCATAGAATATGTCACTGAGTCAGATTCAGATACTCATCAGTTACTTAAAATATATTATTTCTTACTGTGATAAACTATAAATATATTTTATGATATAACATGTAATATATATCCTAATATATTATATAATATATAACAATATTACATAATATAGCATAACGTAGCATAACAGTGTGTCATCATATATGTTATAGTATGTTATGTTATATATCATATCTATATAGCTATATCATAATATATATTATAACATAATATAAAAATATAACATATCATTAATCTAATATAATGTAATATAATATAGAATAATGTACAATTACATAATATAGCATAATATAACATTACATAACATAATATAATATAACAAAAAAAATCTTATATGGTATTGGTATTTGTAATTGTTCTATTTGTAAAGTATCTTTCTCACTTTGTTGTAATTTAACAGGACGTTGGTGGCCATGTCAAACTCAGACAAAAACAGTTATTATAAGAAAGTAGTTATTAGTCAATTGCACCAATTAACCGCCCTCAGACTATAGGCCTCTGCTGTGTCTCCTTATTAATTCCTTTCACTGGCTGTAGTCTCTGTATTGTGTTTGTATGATTTCTCTGTGTGAAATAGCATCTCTACATACAAGCTTGATCATGTCTACACAGACAGTGGTATTACTGTGAGGACAAAGACCTCATTCTGAACACATTTTAAAGAAACTAGTTCTGTAGAAAGTCATTTTGTTACTGTTGAATTTTTAAACATTATTTCTCAATGTAGTGAGCAGCACTCCACTTACTTCAATCGTACTGGGGTGGAAGCAGAACTCTGAGACAGATCTCTGAAAAGGGACTCATTACTGTCCATCTGATTGGTCAAATACCACTTGAGGGAAGTGACATTATATTTTTGTTATTGGGGTGACCCTGCATCTTTATTATTATTATTATTAGCATCTTGTTGTCAAGATTTTTCTGGGTCATAGTTTGTTTTTCTGGGTTAGGGTGTGTTTTCTCTTTGTGTGAGGGAGTTAACGTAACATCCGGTTTTAAATTCTATCAAAGAGAACAGCCAAAAGTTATAATATTTTAACTTTGGACAGCAATGCAGTCTACCGTTAACGTTGCCGGTATTCCCTGCCAGCCTCACTTAATTTTACCGTCCTACTCTCATTCTCTAACATGGCATCCAGTTAGTTACTAACTTAGTTAGTATGCCTGAATTCATGTGAATGCAGCATTTATTTGTCATTTAGATATTCATTTATTTTTTTGTTATTTTTATATACCCTAACCCTTTGGCAGTTAGTAACACTGTGTTTCCATAGTCCGTCTACAGATAGTTAAGATTTCAGCAGCTTATTGCAGTCTTTTTTTTTTCCTAAAATGCCTAGTTTCACAACAGCTTTTCAAAATAAATGCGTTTTTTTCCAATACAATTGCAGGACGAAGTGAAAATTGCAAAAATGATTGCAATTTGTTTTTTCACACATTAAAAATTGAAGGCAACTTGTTCCAGTGAGAATAAAATCACTAGTAGTTTTGTGATTAATGGCTCAGCGTTTTGCAGTGAAATTACAAGGTCATGCAGAATTCATGGGGGTTTGTTGAATTTGCATTGTTCCCATTGTGCCCTGGTAAACCTGGAATACATGGAAGGGGTTAGAGATTAGTTTTCCAGTCATGGACAAAAACCTGGAAATTAATTATTATAATGAGCACATATCCTGGAAATAATCTGTGTTGTCCTGGAAAAGTTTTATTGTAGTTTAGCCCCTCACTCAGATCACTCAAACCTGGGTCCATATTTAGTTTGAAACTTGACTTTTGATAGGCTGAGCTGTGTGCCATCATGACACTTCAAAGCAGGTTTACTAGAAGAGGAGTGGAATGGACATTTACAGCGAGTCATCAATGGTACAGTTATAGTTATAGACTGTATTAAACTGTAAACTGTAGTCAATTCAGAGGCTGCAGCATAACAATTGGCACAAAGAATGAAAGTGAGCTAACGTGACACTTCCTCATGAGCTTGCATCATTAAACAAAGAGGAATAATATAAATACTAGATCTACTGGTAAATTATATGACCGTTTATGAGCAAGTGCCATCCTGTATTGTCAAGAAAAATGATTTGTAAGAGTTGGAACCCTGATTTGTGTTAATTTAGTTGTGTTAATTATCGCAACTTCCTGGAGGGACTGTGGTTAAGGCTTGGTTAGGTTTAGGCACAATGTTCATGAATTGTCACACATACACTCACGTAGCTGTTACTAGTCTGTATATAAAAAAAACTACAGACAAAGCGAAACAGTTGAAATGTTATGAATACTCTTACTATCTGTTGGCGGACTATCCACAGTGTTACCCAGTTATTGCCAGTAAAACATATCTCACCCCACATAACAAGACCCTCAGGTTAGATCAGTGCGGACACATACTGTAAACACACACATTATACAGTCTCTCCTGTGCTGTATGGACACAGTCTTGAACTGAGCTGACTCCTGGAAAGCAGATGTATGATCTAGCCAGAGAGAAATTTCAGGCCGACCTGAGCAGACAAATACACATACTGTTCCATGCTAATTAGCCCACAGACTGTGGCACAGCAGTGTGGGAGCTGTGTGTGGATGCATGTGTGTCAGAGAGGGGTGGATTAAGAAAAATGCCAGCCATCAGTTTAGTTCAGTCTGTGTGTTTGGCTGCTAGATCTCGCTCTGTGTTGTGCTGCATGTTAGCTGTGTGTTTCTAGGTTCCATGTACCACCAGGACAGTTTAGTTAGCCAGTTTGGTGGCTGGGACTCACACAGCAGTGGAGCAGATCCTCCTGACAGTGTCTCTCTGTCCTCTCCGCCCGTCCGGCAGGTACCTCAGGACGAGTGGAGCGGTTTCTCTCCCCTTGGGAAGGAGGATGACATCCCCTGTCGGAGGATGAGGAGTGGCAGCTACGTCAAAGCCATGGCTGAGGACGACAGCGGAGACTCTGAGGGGAGTCCCAAACCCTCCCCCAAGGTCCAGGCACGCCGGGCCAGCTACCTGAAAGCCACACAACCATCACTGACTGAGATGACCACTCTACAGTAAGATTCTCACTTATTTTCTTCACATTATGTGTTAGCATGAATCTTGTCAATCAAGTTTTTCTCTTTCTATTCTTACCCTTCCTTTAAGGCTTATTCAAAACTGATTAAAACAGTGAAAATTTCACATTAGAAACCACCTTTTAAGACTTTTAAGAGTTTCCACTGACATATTTTATGTATGGAAGCCAATTTCTGCCAATGAAAAAAAAAAAAAAAAAAGATTATAATGAGAAACTTTAAAAAAAATATTGACTTTGCATCTCAGTCATTACTGTGACAGACTGTGACTATCAACATATATAAAGATAGATGTTGCGTCTCCACTTTCTCCCGCTGTACAAAAATGAAGCCAAACTTTCGGATTACGGCTCTGCTATCTTTCGCCATTCGGAGCCAGAGTCTTTGCAGTAATGATCGGGGTAAGCGCCACAGTATCAAACTCCTGCCCATACGGCATGTATGTTTTTCATTGGGCGCCCGATTGGCTCAGTCGGTGTAGCTGGCGACCCATGTACGGAGTTGCTGCAGCGGCCCGGGTTAGGGTCCGGCCTGCGGCCCTTTGATACGTGTCGTCCCCTCTCTCTCTGCCCCCCTTTTCTGTCTATCTCGGCTGTCACTATCAATAGGGGCAATAAAAGGCCAAAAAAATAACTTTAAAAAAATAAATAAATAATGTTTTTCATTTATTTAAAAAACTATTCTATTCTATACAGAAAGCATAATAAGGGCAATATCAAATTCCATACCGTTTTATACTGCATAGAAACCCTGCAAAAAAAACATTAACTTTGGGGAGGGAGGAGCAGAAAGGCCAACTAATTTTTGGGTTTAGTTAGTTCATTATCTGACTGCTTAGGTTCATATGAGAGGTTTGTTAAAAAAAAAACCAAAAAACCACAAAAAACCACAAATAAAAAAAAAAAGGAAAAATTAAAAAAATATTTTAATAAAAAAAAAAAAAAAAAAAAAAAAAATAAAAAAAAAAAAAAAGGTTTTGCAGTGATCATGTTATAATCATGATTTTTAACTGTAGACATTTTTTGAGAACCATCAGAAAAACCAGTGAGTTTTACAGAAGCTCCTCACGATTGCAGCCTGATTTCATTAATTAAATAGAATCAGTTCATTTCACACTGATCCTTTATCATATGTGATTATGATGAACAGCGCGTTCGGCCTCTTTGTCACTGAAGCCATGTTATATGAAGCCTCCAGCAGGATGCCGTGTACTCTGATTAGCTAATTAAGAAACAGATGGGGCTTGTCAAGATGAACCTGAACAGCTGAAATATATTAATACATGCTTGTGTATATATCTTCATTTCATATTTAAAATATTGTATATTATTATATTGTTATTGTACACTATTTGCAGAAAATATTTCTCCACAGTGTATCTTTACAAAATCAACTTACTGTTCTTACAGTAGTTTTCTTGTAATTATTAATCCAATCTGTCTATTGCCAATTAAAACTGCTAAAAATCACTGTTTCTCTAACGCTGTTAGACGGACAAAGGACGTTGGAGGGGCTGCGAGCTGAGCTGCTGCTAACATTAGCTCAGCTTGTTTCTCTGATAACTTAAGATCCAGACGTCTGATGACTAAAATCCTTCATCCGGTTCAAATCTAGAGTTAAAAAGCACCAAGATCTAAACAGTGGATGGTAACAATGTGGCTTCAGACTGGATAAAAAGTCAATGTATGACAGCTTCTGGCAGACAACCACAACGCTGACACAGGCACAAAGGGGATATGACGCCACTGACAGGCGACCAGTGAGCAACGCAGCATTACCTGAATAAAATGACAGATTTCTCTGAGTTTGAACATTGTTGGAAACATTTGGGATAATGGAAGTACACAACTCAACTACATACAGAACATAGATCTAGTCTGTCTAATCTCTGTTTATAGACATTTTGATGTGGATGTCTTCTTTGTTGTTATGCAGAATTTAAATTTGAAACCAGTGTACTTTCATTGGCTGAAACTATTACTTATTTTAAGTGTCCATAGATTCAGGGTCTGGAAAGGCTAAATGCAATGCTAGTCTTATGTCCTCTAAGTAATATTCTGTGGAAGCATTCTCAGGGCTGCTAAAGCTAGGCTTGGTAAGTCTCCCAGACAGGACAGAGGTGTTATCTTCAGTCTGATCTACAACAGGATGCCAGAAATATCAGCTTTGTCTGATTAAACTTTGACAGCTCTCTAAATAGTGAGAGTAATAGCAGTGAGTCCTCAAAGCTGCCACTTTGCTTTTTCTGTTGTCTCTTCTTACTGTGTCATGTATGGACCGGCCTCTATTGTCTTAAAAAAAGAGGGGGCAATTGTTTGAAGCAGGTCAGTGTTTATTATATTTAATATATTTCTGGGTTTTCGTGCTTTCTTCCTTTCAGCTCAGTCAGTCCTTGAAGCGTTTCAGTAGGAGAGAGTTGTTTTCTAAAGAGATATTTGGAAAGAAAATCAAAAAAATCACCCCATCGTATGATGGGGTATATATATGATATATATATAATATAATAAACACTGAAACGTCAAAAATACATCCCCGATATATAGTGGACTAGTTGTTGCACGTTTATGATATTAATTTAATTATTTAAATATACATACAGTTTATTTTAACAACAAAATTTCAGCCCCACTCTCCCGCGGCATTCCAGTCAAAAGCTCCTGTGCTAGTAGTCTAAACTGCCCCCCATCCTTCAAGTTCCTAGTCAGGGTACAGTCAGTTAGTAGGACCACTAAGTCACTAATAGCAGCTAGTACAGTTAGCATATGCAGCAGTGCACCAGTAAGGGGCTCCCTGTTTTACAAGAGAAAAAGTCCATGTTGCAACAACTGTTACAAGCTGCAGCCCCCGAATGGAGTTTAACGTTGGTTTTGTTTTTCTCTGGCTAATGAAAAGTGGGAAGAATAAGGATCTTTACACTGACTACTTGGATACTTTTTTAGTATTAGTTTGGTTTTGACCATATCTGTAAAACTAAACTAGTTGGTTTCTCTCTGGCCATTAAATCACAATGCTCTGCAGTTGAATACTTAACACCTTCACTCTGGCCCTTTAAAAGACCTTGGTAGATTGTCACAGATGTTAGAGAAGAGCATTATGATAAGCAACTGTTATAGTACAGAAAACCCTATATATATCATTTTGGTGTAGGTCAGAAATGAACAAGTCACAAATAAGTTTCAAGTTAATGTGCTGGGAATCAGGTTGCCAGGTTTGCATGGAAAATGATAAATAGTAAATGGACCTGTACTTGTATAGCGCCTTTCTAGTCTTCCGTCCACTCAAAGCGCTTTTACACTACGTGCCACATTCACCCTTTCACACACATTCACTCAGTGATGGCAAAGTCCAGCGAACAGAACGCATTCATACACATTCACACACCGATACACAGCATCGGGAGCAATTTGGGGTTCAGTATCTGGCTCAAGGAGGAGCCGGGGATCGAACCAACAACCTTCCAATTAGTGGACGACCCGCTCTGCCTCTGAGCCACAGCCACGTGCACCAGAATCACTCGATCATGTTTCATAAATTAAACACAATTCCTCTCAATATATATAAAAATTAGCATATGTCTTAAGTCTAAATCAAGTCTCAAGTCATGAATATCAAGTCATAGTCACATCAATTCTTATCAATGTTAGTGCAGTCTCAAGTCTTCAAATTTGCGAATTGAGGCGAGTCGTATGACTCGAGTTCCTCACCCCTGTTCAAAAGATGCCTACTTCTGACTTTCTTATGTATTGGCCTGTATGATGTATGCAGGTCAGATGTCTTTAGTAGGCAAAAATATTATCATAAATGTTTAGGGTGTTGGATATTTAAATAGTTATTATTTTTCATTTTGTCATTTTTGACACTTCCACATTTAAGCCATGTGTTTGATCTTTGCAGCTTGAAACTTGGTTCACGCTATAATAAAAATGTTTAATAATTATGCAAAGAAATTGTCTGTTTGATCTGAAATCTCAGCAGCCGTATTGATAAAACCACCAAATGGAAACACTAAATGAATGCCATTGTACTACAAGGTATAGGGTAGGTATAAGGAGTTGCACACCAAAGCTCTGAGTTGATTTTATGGATGGTGACCACTGCTCTGACTGTAATAGAGGAATTACAATGTTAACTAATTTCAGAGGTAACCTTGTGTCTACATCGCTGTCGTCCCTGTCAGGATTTCGACGGAGCACTCCCCCAAACTGCAGATCAGGAGCCACAGTTACCTGCGTGCGGTGAGTGAGGTTTCAATCAATAGAAGCCTGGATACCCTGGACCCCAAAACCCTCCTCGACCCCAAATCGCTGCTGTCCTCACCCCAATACCGCTCACGCAATGAAAGCTACATGAGGGCCATGAGCACCATCAGTCAGGTTGGTTGCCAACACTGCTGCCTGCCACACTATGCCCACTCAGTCATTTCACTATAGATACACAGAGACTTGGATGGACCTAATAGTGTTTGAACTCATTTCCATGCACTTTTCTGTGACTATATGGGAAATTTTTTATACCAGACTGAAAAAAACATCCTTGATTTTCACCTAATGCCACTATTTTTCACAGTTTTTTGTCTGATTTGTTCTTCTGGGAGAGGACTCAAAGCAATGCCAACCTATTGAAAGCTTTGGCATGATATACAGTATGGCCAGTTGTGTTATTAGGTTCACTGTTCCAACATAAAATATATACCATTATTTATTTTTTAAAAACTTTTAGTGTAGCTTTGCTTTGTACCTAAACAATCCAAATGAGAAATTGCTTTGGAAATCAGGATATTTCAAGGTAAATGGTAAATGGACCTGTACTTGTATAGCGCCTTTCTAGTCTTTACACTACATGAGACATTCACCCTTTCACACACATTCACTCAGTGATGGCAAAGTCCATTGAACAGAAACTAACATTCATACACACTCACACACCGATGCATGGCATCAGGAGCAATTTGGGGTTCAGTATCTTGCTCAAGGATACCTCGACATGTGGGGGGGATCGAACCCACAACCTTCCAATTAAGGAACGACCCGCTCTGCCTCTGAGCCACAGCCGCCATTCCACTTAGTCATTTAATATATATCTTTTGACCATATCACATTGTCATCAACAGTGAGATTGGGTTTGTTCAGTTGCCAAAGATATGTTTAATAAAGTTTAAACTTAGCACAATTGAAGCTTCCTAAGACCAACCCCTTTTTCCAATAACAGTTGAGCAAGCCTCGGTGACAACCCAATCAACTTTCTCCTTTCCTGTACTTAGATATGCTATGTGCTAGGCTAATCTGTGTTGAAAATACAACCACACTTTTGAAGATGTTTAAAAGATAAAAGCGACGTATACACAGTTATAGCTTAAGTTAGCTAATGTTAACAAAACACTAGCTAACTCACTAGCTAACCTACATGAATTGTTAGCAAGCTAGTTATCTGGCTGGCTAGCTAGCTAATCTACATTGATTGTTAGCTAGCTAGTTATATTTGATAGCAAATGTTGGCAAAATACTAGCTTATTAGCTAGCTAACAATTGATGTACATTAGCTAGCAAGTTAGGTAGTGTTTTGGTGACATTAGCTAACATTAGCTATGCAAAGATGTGGCTTAAAACCAATCATCATGTTGTCTTTTCAACATAGACGCGCCTAGCATATAGCATATCAAAATACAGGAAAGGAGAAAGTTGACAGATTCTGACGGAGGCTTGCTCAACTGTAGCACAGAGCAAAAAGGGCAGGACTTAGGAAGGGTCAGTGATTTTCAGGAAAATTAGATTGTTGGGGTTTGAAGTTCTAAAGGACTGAGATAAGTTGCTTAAGAGGGCTAAGTTCTAAAAACTGAAGCTATCAGTGATATGCTATGCCCACAGGTGTAGTGGTGCATATACAAGGCATAAAGGTCTACCCATCTCTGGGCTGGGGGACTTACTAAATGCGCACCTTTTAATAGCCAGGAATAACTGTCATTTGTCATCAAACAGTGCATTAATCCTTGTTTGAAAATGGTTTCAAATACTATCTGAGCCCAGGTCTGTGCACAGGGCACCGGCATTTCTGCACTGTAAGGTTGATACTGAGGATGAGGGTCATGTTTCCAACTCTACAAATCCATCCATCACGTTATAAGTGTTTCTTAAAGGACACGTCTGTAATAGTTTATTTTTCTTATTGTCAACAAATCCAATGTGCAGAGCCAAACCAACAATGGATGCATCTGCTAACAAGTATTGTATGCAAGCCAGATCTTCTCCTTCTGTGCCATAGAACTCCATCATTGTCCAAAAACTATTAAAAACACATCAGTGAGCCACAATGTAGTTTATTTTAGTTTAGTTTATACCACAAAAATGAGCATTAATCTGCCACAAATCAAACAAATTTCCTTGTTTTTGAGTAACGTTTGTTTCATGTCCAGATGTTTTAAGAAATGATTGAGTCTATTTTAGAAATGAAGAAATCTGTGAGCCTTAAAGATTTCCATCTTCCGTAGGAAACAATGGGCTTGAAGCTGAGAGAAAAGTCAGAAGTACTGTACTTGTAGGTTTTGGTCTTTTATGGTTTTATTGACAATAAAAACAATATACAGTGACACAAGGAAAGGAGACAATGCAACACATTTTTCCATTGTATTCCTCTTTGAATATGTACCTAACTTAATGCTGCAGTAGGTAATGTTTGTTGAAAAACTGTAATCTGTCTAATGTACTACTGTCAGGATACCGTGAAAGTTTGAACAAATATGACTAAAAGTTATTTTTGTAAACGTTACCTGCTGCAGCTTTAATGTAGGTTCGGGGGGATATAATTAATGGATGAGGCCATGGTCGTGGCCTTTTACCCATGATCAAAGTATAAGTATTTTTCAATCATATTTTGAGGTAATATGCTCTTAACCCCACTGCAGCAGTTGTGAATTGCTCCTCCCTACTGCACCTATAATGATTGTTACTCTGCACTTCCTCCTGGCAGGCTACTGTTGAAGCCTTTCTTCAAAGCTACAGCACATGTATTGAAGCTGTGCCCAGTAAGCCTTCATTTGTCCCACCTTAACCTTACCTTGAACCTCCACTTGTATTACTCATCCTGAACCTGGCCCTACTTCCCATTACCCCCCTTGCTACAATATGCTTTTGTCTTGCAGTTGAGATCCACTTGCAATTTGTTCTCAATTTAAGTAAATGTGATTGGAAAATAAAAAGAATAGTGGGACAATTTGTCTTAAAGAGAAAGCAAGACATCAGATGTGTATGTGCATCAAACAACATTTTTAAAGTGACTGAGGAATATCATGACCCTGAGAAAGAGCTAGCATGGTTAGCATGCTAACAACAACAGTCCACAAATTTGTTAATTACACAGCATTTTATCAATCTCCTTACTGTCAGTAAAACTGCCACTATCCTTACACATGGGGGCCCGAGCTTGCAGGTCTATTTGGGTCTGGGAGCTTACACCAAACCCCTTCCAGAGGTCCACCCTCTTCATTGCTCCCTGTTTCTCCCCTCTTCTCTCTCTCTGCTCCTCGTCCAGCTGAGTGAGGTCGAGGTGAACGGGCAGATTGAGCAGGTGTGTGAGCAGGTCTACAGCGAGATGCAGTCCCAGGCCATGGAGGCTGCCATGGACAGTATGGATACCATGGACACCTTGCCCATGCCGGGATGCTTCCGGATGCGAAGCCACAGCTATGTGAGGGCGATCGACCAAGGCTGCGCCGGGGAAGAGGAAGGAGAGGGAGGGAGGCCGCTGCTCCTGCTGCCATCCTCTCCACCACGGACATCTGCCACCACTGTAAGAACCATCCAGAGCAGCACAGGTAGGATGGATGTTCGGTCTGAATGTGTTTGTATCTGTCCAAACTTTTCATACCAGGGTGCACATAAAGAATAATACGTTAGCTAGCTAACTAATGAATCTTAACTCTGTGTTGCTAAAGGTTGAATATTCATTGATGGTTGAATTATATTATTGGTTGAAATGGTTGAAAGCATGGCTGGCTGATGCTTTACAAAGAAATATTGTATTTCGATATAAAAATACAAAGAACTAGGTTTTTTGTAATTTTGTTGGCATACATTGTTTAGTAGGGGTACAATATTACACAAATAGTAATATTAATGGGTTAAAAAGGCATTTTTCATTTAATCTGGACTTTAAAGTATTGATTTTTGAAAATGAAAACCCACAAGAAGGAAGTTACAAGCAAGTGAAAGAACTTGAATTAATTAAAATCTTGAGTAATGAGATGTAGTACATGACAAAATTCAGCAAGCAACATCCTATCATTCCCTGCAACATGTCTAAAAATGGTAAGCAGGCCCAGCAGAGTTTGATTTTACATCAAGATGGCAAGAGGAATAAATCTGTGTGACTCATTAAGACGAGTGCACACATGGGAGTTCCATAGTGCAGAAACCACAGGCTGCTCTATAGAAATGTGGAGAAAAAATGTATATAGTCAGATGAGTCATCCTTCACCATATTCTCAACAAGTGGGTTAGTGCACATATGGCACTGGTAACTCTATTGCATTGTGGGGGGCTTTCTATCCTGATGGGAGTGCTCTCTTCCAGGATGACGGTACCTCCATCCAAAGGTTACAGCTCACTGAATAGTTTAATGAGGATGAAAATTATGTTAATCATACGCTATGGTTACCACATCTCAGCCCAATTGAACTGTGGGAGATTACGGAGCAACGCATTAGACAGCGCTCTCGACCATCATCAAAATAAGAAAACACATCAAAACATAACTGGAATTCCCCGCACTTCTGGAGGCTCAAGGTGGAACACCTTATTTACTTTCAGTGTCATCCACTTGTATCTACACTACCTTGAGTAGCACTGCACTCAGGGCTGCCACTTGTCCTTAAACAGATTTTTGCCTGCGCTGTTATTTCACACACAAGTGCAGTCTTAAATACTATCAATGGAGAAGGTGAACAATTTTGACACTCTGAACCATGTGAATATATAAACTCCCTTACTGTATATTGTGTTTTTATTTTATGTTGTCGGACATCAACCTGAAAACTGTCAGAGTTGTTGCTGAGAAGGTCACCTACGAAGGGGAGGTCAACTCCCCCCCCCCCCAAGTAGGTTGACCTTTACAAGATTCACCCAGTGCGGAACTCACTTTGCAGTAAATCCCACAAAAAGCCTTCATTTGATTGGTCTGACTGGACTATAATCAGTAGAATGACAAGTCTTGCATCACAGAAACCTTAAGTCAATTGACCCTTCCTAAGTCCCGCCCCCTTTTGCTCTGAAAATAAATACATTTATTTGACTTTCTTTTATCCTTTTATTCCTGACTCTTACAATTTTTGACTTTACCTTACATTTCCTATTTTCTCTGTCCGAGCTCACTTTTAATCCTCACACGTCCCTTTTTGCTTGTATAAACATTTTTGGACTGGTACATACATTGCACATAACAAGCACACTGCTGCTTTAGTCTGGAAATAGTGTTCAGATCTGTGATAATATGATGAGCCAAATTAATCAGCTCCACACTTCTCTCAAGAGAGCTGACAATTATCTGGCCTCCAATTTGAAGTGACTTCTTTCTGTGGAGTCTCATGAGAATACCGTTGGTCACATTTAGCACCTGCATAATTCCAAACCTGACAGTTGTAAAGTTTTTTCCTAATATTTTTATAGCCATTTTTTAGACTTTTCAATCAGGAGCAGATGGAAATCACCCTGCTTCATGCAGGAGCTGCAAAAATATTTCAAATTATTTCATGTCTGTCTTTTAGAGGAGAACATTTGCACCCTGCACTGTTGTTTCACAAGCTCTAACGGGCAAAAACGTATCAATACATACATAAATAGTTGACATTGACAGCTTTTTCACTAGCAGAGACCACACCACAACAATATTTCATTTAACAGTTTAATGGAAATGTAGGACTATTGGATACAGGACATCGATGACTGATATGGTTATAAAGGGGAGGGGTGAAGGTAGATGTAGGACGTACTGAAGACCAGGCGGAGTGAGTTATTGTGGGTGTTTTCGGCTCAGATATGGAAGAGGTATGCACTGGAGTGAACGGAGGGAAGAGAGTATGAAAAGATGTGGGTAGGGATGAGCAGAGAGAGGGATGGGGTAGGAAAATGTATGGATGAACGGAAGGGAGGGTGGGTCGTGAAATCACAGGCTAAGGTTATTATAGGTGTATAGTAGTTGAGTTAACTAATTAATTTCATCAAACCCCTATGTGGGTCCGAGCCTGCAGTCAGTGATCAAGTACTGTAAAAACAACAAAAAAGAGGATCCCAGGTTGAAAAAGACAATCAGGGTTCCTCATGGAACAATGTAGGCCATCGGTTTAACAGGGATCAGTTCCGACCTCATTTTATTGTTGTCTTCATTTTAATCTGGACTGCAGTTTTGTAGATTACATGATAACTCCGCTTACTGCAGAGATCCCTTCGGGGGGGAATTCGATAACATGAGCAAACTTTACTTCAGCCCTGCACTCTGATCTACGCCTCAGATCAAAAAGAATTCTCATGAAAGCCCAGTGGAAAATGTTTCTTTACCTAGTAATGTATGTAATGAAGAAAACTGGGATTAAACTTTTCAGTACTAGGTCATCCTCTAAATTATATGACTGTTTGCAAGTGCTGTCCTGTATTGTCAAGAAAACTCCTGGAAAATGTCCTGGAAAGGTCCTGGAAAATAATTTCTTAAAAAGAGTGGGAACCCTGACAGAACTTGCAACATCATGCAGTTCCACACATTTACAGGAGAAGGAATTGTACAACGCTTGGGGTTGCAGTTATGTGCACTCTGCTGTACATTGTAACAATGAAGCAGAAATCTCACAAAGATAATCTTGTAAAAGCCAAAAAAAAAGGCTGTCTCCATGCGTGGTATTCAGATGAGAACATGCCAGAGTGGATGCCACGGGGGCTTACTGCAGTGTCGGCTCTTCGGTATTAGGAAAGTCTTTATTTTTAAAGTGCTCAACTGGCGATGACCTACATTTGCTGCTCCTCTGGGAAGTCTTGCATAGTTAACGGAGAGGATACATGTACACACACATAGATTAAGCACCAATGTGTATGTATATATTATTCAGTCATGCACACAGTCACACGTTCTTCTGCTGTCACACAGTACAGTAGATGGTAGGCTCCACTTCCACATGAGTGGACATTGTGCTGATAAATATTGGTTCATTGCCCACTGATGTGAATTATCCACCCAGGCTTATTGTGCAATTGAACTATCACCACAGGACTTTAATGGCTTAATTTGGCATTTTCTTATTTACCGACTCATCTACAGTGCGGTATGTTTGATCAAACACAAGTTCTAAGCCATATGCACAAAAGGAAACATGCTGTCTCTGTGAAAATATAACCTACTAGACGATGGAACATCCAGTGTGGCATTTATGTCGTTGTTTTAGCCTTTAGTTGTTGCTCCCAGTGAAAATGTAATTTACCAATCGGCATTTAGCCCGCCACAGAATCCTACTGTGCATCAACATCATCAAGAAGTTAGGTATATATTCCTGTTGATTGTAACACTCCTGCAGTTTAGTTTTATCAATAAAAGTTTGACAAGAGTCTTAGAGGCTGTTTTGATGTGTTATTTGCATTGCTTTCAATCTTTTATCCAAGGCGTTCGGGATGTTGCGCTACTGTCGCGGCTGTAGTTATAAGGCTGCATAAAGATGATGATGAAGTAATTTAGAAGTAAGCCTCACTGACGTGAAAACAAAGATACAGTTTATGTACTGTTTCCATCTCGGTGCACCATGGAAAGCATTGCTTTTAGTTTTGAGCATGCTCGTCGCACGTCTCCATTCAAAATAATGTATTTGCGCATGCAAAAGATGCTACATCGACCGGGCAGGGTTGTGAGGGTAAATGTAATCGGTTACAATTACTAATTACTTGTTAAGCAGGTAGTCAGTGACCTAATCCAAGTATCACAATATTAAAGTAACATAATTTAATTACTAGTGCTGTCAGTTAAACGCATTATTAACGGCGTTAACGCAAACCCATTTTAACGGCGTACATTTTTTTATCGCGAGACTAACGTTCTTTTTGGCCTAGCACACTTTGTAGTTTTTTTCACACGCTGTTGCTTCTAGGGATGCTCGTATTGGCTTTTCTGCCGATATCCGATATTCCGATATTGTTCAACTCTCAATTTCCGATACCGATATCACCCGATACCGATATATGCAGGCTTTTTACACCAAAACTGTTAGGTAGCAACATAACATATCTCCTATAGTGGAATTAGTAATTAGTTGCGATTAAATATTTTAATCGTTTGACAGCACTATTAATTACTTGGTGTTATTTTTGGATTACCTCAACACCAATATGCAAATTAAGACAAGACAATAGAAATGTCAATAAGAAGTATTGATTTGAAGTGTATTTTATCAGACAGAAAAATGTAATCTGTAAGGAAAATAAAAGCTTCAGCACCACGTTTTTGGCATCACGTGTTCTCTCCTCAGTGTGTTTTTGAAATAAAAATTGTAATCCCATTTTTACTAAATGTAACAGTAATCTGATGTATTTTTTCTTTAACTGTAATGGTTTACAGTTACCTTTTTCATGTATCCTGATTACATAACTCAGTTACATGTAATCCGTTTCTTAACGTTACTTACTTTACGAGTTGGGAGTGAGAACATGTGGATTACTTTTTAAAATATTTACTAATTTTTGTTGCCTAAATTACGATGCTGGTTGTGAACCCTGGTCATAGATGTTCAGGTCCTGTGCTTTGTACACCTGTCATCCACCATGACTTCCTCCCTATGACAGTCTC